AGTCTCTGCATTAAATTTTGAACAAATCACAAGCAGTATTGTAAAGCAGATTTCGTTGTTGTTCTCTGCTCAAAAACTTCCAATACAACAATTTTCATTACTACTGATAGTTACCATCTTCATTGTATTGTTTTATCCATTTCCTTAGTGGTAAAAGCATGAAATCATAGTAGACAGATAAAACCATAGAGAACAGATCAGTCTTACCAGGAAACATGGGAAAAGACAGGGAGAATACAAAAAGGGTAGCACAGAGAAGTTTCTTTGTGGTGATGGAACAGTTCTGTATCTTGGTGGTGGTAGTGTTACATGAATCTAGATATCGGGCAAAATTGCATAGAGATGCAAACTTAAATGCATTTGAAGTGTGACAAAAATATAAGGTCTGTAATTTACTTATAGCAATGTCAGCTTTTTATTTTTGATACTATACCATGATTACATAAGATGTCACCATTGGGGGAAGCTGAGTGAAACATTCCTGTGAACCTATAAATTACCACAAATTAATAAGTTTGAAAGTTATAATAGGCAACAATGATCAGTCTCAACTTGCGTGGGGGTGGGGGATATGAATGAAAATGTAGGGCTCATGGAACAAGTAGCCTATAATAAATTTTCCCCTACAGGGTTTTCTCTTTTTTTTTTGCAGTACTGGGACTTGAACTCAAGGCCTTCACCTTGAGCCACTCCACCAGCCCAATTTTTTGTGATAGAGTTTTTCAAGATAGGGTCTCATGAGCTGTTTGCCTAGGCTGGCTTCAAACTGTGATCCTGATCTCTGCCTCCTGAATGGCAGGCATGAGCCATTGGCGCCCAGCCAGGGTTTTCTAAAAATGAGCTACGATATCAGTTTTTGACTGTGTTTTGGATGTTAAATAGTTGTTAGATTAAAACATGTTAATTAAGTTAATGTCCTGTAGGACTCACACTGAGGAAGGATCACACCAACTTTCACAAGGGTGTTAAATTGTTATATATCTGATAGATCTGTAGGCTGACATTGCTTCCTACTTTTCTCTGACTGGTTCCACCAGTGTATTTGTCCATGAACTTGCTTCAGACATTTTATAGAAACAGAATTCTTCCCTTTAGTATCATTATTACCCCTTTAAAATCTAGTTATTACATGTATATCATGGGAAACTTTGGAAATAAAGAAAAGCAGTAGAAAAAATGCCTGTAATCCTACCACCTGGGAAAAACACTATTGACACTTAGTATATTTTAGTCCAGTTCTTTTATTTTAGTCTAATTCTTTTATCTCTTTATGTGTAAATGCTTCTAAAATGATTATTAACACACACTGTTTTGTAAATGTATTTTACTTATTGGTATGTGTACAATGCAACATTTCCCCAGATCATTCAGTACCTTTCCTCCACATGATTTAATGACTCCTTGGAACCATACCCTGAATATGTACAACTTAACCAGTTTCCTATGATTGAAAATTTAGGCTATTTCCAGTTTTCCACTACTAAAAACAATGTTGTGATGAGCAACTGTTATGCACATTCATAATTATTTTCTTATACTTAAGTCTTAGAATTGGAATTTCTGGGTTGGAAAAACTTAAAAGCTTTCAACTTACATTGTTAAAGTACTTTGCAGAAAGATAAGCATCAACTTAAAAAATAAAAGTTGTAAACCAAAACCTTATTTGAACAGCAAGATGTTCTACGTGATAGGAAATTTAGGATCTGTTTCTTTGGAGTGATTTATTCTTCTTTAGAAACAAATTGTCATTACCAATAGATGCATTGTTTTTTATAAAATTAAAAGGAAAATATTATAAATAGCTAAATAAACAAGTTTTGCAAAAATATTTCACTATTTTCAACTTTTTTTTAATAATGAGAATAAAGTAGACTTCTAGCATAAAAGGATGACAAATGGAATGAGCATATCACTAATGAGAAATGGAGTATTTTATAGAGCTACAGTTCAACCTACCCTTGTTTGATATTAAAATAAATTTTAGGTTTTTAAGCATTATTCCTGCACATGCACCATTTAATTTATATACAATAAAGGCATAGAGAAGTGAACATTTTTTAAATGGAAAAAATGTCCTAGTATTCACAGTGTTGCCCAATCCGTTGTGTTTGAGTTGTGAATACTCACTCTATGGACAATGGGAAATATAGTTCTGGATTTAAGCCCTCCCTTTGTTAGGCATCTCTAGTCCTTTGCTGGAACACATCAGTTGTATCTTTTTTTGAATTTCCAACTGGCTTAAAGTGTGTTTCATTGATTAGGTAATCATCAAAACACATTTTGATCTTTCTCATTGAGAAGCTGAATCTTAAGAGGTTTTATTTAGTTTATCAAAGGCTTTGTCTTTTGCTGCAGCCTTCAAGTGCTTATGATCATTGTTTTCAGCCTCAGTCCTTTCCTCAGGCTTTTAATTGGTCCCCATGCCCTCAGAAAGCTACCAGCTTGGTATAGAATGAAAACAAATCCTACCCGTTATTGCTTATACTTTCTCTTCAACAAAATCAGAGATAAGGGCAAAATAGTTTCTGCCTGGTAGCGAGGGGGATGAAAGAGGGGGGCGGGGGAGAGGGGATAAATGACCCAAACATTGTATGTGCATATGAATAAAAAAAGAAAACAAATAAATCCTACCAAGAATAGTGGAAACAAGGCATGGGTAATTCTTTAAAAGTATAAGCTTTCTTAAAATCCTGAACTTTTAAGTATAGTATGTATTACCTACAGTTTTTTATTAGCTTTTAATAACAATCATTGAGTAGTCCCTAGGAAACAAGATTTTTTTTTTCTGTATTGATTTTTTATGCTGACAAATGCATAAGTCTGATGTCCTTTTCTTCTTCATCACAAACACCCCATTCTGTAATGTGTATAATGGTGAGATTTGCTTGAATATAGTTTATGAGATCCAGATTACAAAGACCTCTTTCCCTTTCAGTTCTGTGCTGTGTTGGCTGGGTAGAGAGGGAAGGAGAAAAAGAAACCTTATCATGACGAGCTAGCAGATCTGAAGATGGAGGACCATTTTGTCCTAAGGGCTGTCCTCCCAGGAAGTTGATTTAGGAGAAGTTTATATAAGAGATATGTGGTTACAGGCTGTGTACCTTCTCACAGGTGAAGGTTTGTAGCTAAATGATGCACATCTGATTATAATCAACTAGTCAGGAGGTGCTTTTCAGTTCTATAGATATCATGAGCAAAGATCATTAATTCCTGAAGTACCAAGGCAAAACCCCCTTGGACTATCAATATACACTATAATAAAATGAAGAGCAGGAGGGAAAAATAGGTCATTTCTGGGAGTGGGTACCAGTGGGACATGGGTGGGTAGACACAAGGAGAGGGGGAATGAGGGTGAATATGGTAGATATATTTTGTATCCATATATGAAAATAAAAGAATGAAAACCTGTTGAAATTGTTCTAAGAAGGGTGGGGGGGAGAAGAGGGAGAATGATGGAGGGGGTAAATCTAATTAAGATATATTGTAAGCACATATATAAATATCACAGTGTATCCCCTTGCACAACTATTATATGCTAATAAAATTTTTTAAAAAGATTATTATTTCCTTGTACTGTTCTTGGCACTAGTTTTCCAACTAGCAGTTTCTGACAAAGTACACAGTAAATCAGGTAGTGGTGGGTAGAGGGGTAGTTGCCTCAGGCTCTATTGCTGATCAGGAAAGACAACATACTTCAGTTGATTGTTGTCAAAGAGGAGGGTCCTATGAGGTTAAATAGATAATGGGATGCTCAATGCTTGGCTTCAGTATTTTCTGATTGTATTTTATTGATATCATTAAAATTTCCTTCAAAGAGAAATTTTTCAGGCTAGAATTGTTTGTAAATACATATTATTAGAAGAAGAATAGTTTTCTGATGCTGTTGACTAAATAATTATGGAGCTTTATTGTTCAGTCCTGTGCTATAATCCCTTTTAAGTTGAAAACAGCTCTGTTTTCAGAGCTGTTTATAGGACATTCCAGAAGAGTTCCTGTACCCTAGAGTGAAGTTTGCAGCAACTGAGGATGGCATATTTTTACATGTTTTGAATTAAGAAAGTATTTGAGCTGTAGCATAAATTTGGTTACAAGTGTTAAAGAAATACTCATTCTATTTTGGAAAGAATGGAATTACAATTTAAACACAGATATTGTATTTCACCCAAAAGGACTGTCCTCTTTGAGTTTACCTACTCTTCATTGTACCTTGTAAATTTGTTCTCTTACCTGCCACCCCTCCATCTGAAATTTTCTGTAAAATTGTAAGGAACTGTTTTTCTGGATGACAAATTAGGCTTCATATGAAAGGAGCTTTGTCATGGATTTGAGTATATAAAAATTGTATACTTTCTTAAGGATTTTATATCTATCTCTTTATAGAGATAGATATATAAATTTATAAACAGTATGTGTATCTATCTCTCTATATAAATCAGTATATCTTCTTGACTTTGACTTTTTATGTTTTTAACGAGCACTACTAAAAACTGAATATGAACTTCTTGACATTTAATCCAAAGGAAATTTGGTTTAAATCTGATCACTAAAGAATAATTTATTTGAATGTTTAGGGAGTTTTAAAATTTGGGCAGTTTTTTCTTCACTTCAGTTTTTCATATGCCTGTTGAGTAATTTTTATAACTGATAAAGAGCTCTTATTTACTTTTCATGTCATGGGTATTTTTACAAAAATAACTAAACTTATATATAGCTATTTTCTGTTTAAACTCAACATGAAAATGCAGTATTTTAAAATAGAAGATGATTACTGAAGAATCAGCCTGGTAGATTTTAAGCATAAATTATTTATAAAAATAAGCATTATGTGTAGTTTCATATACTACTTTGATATAATAAGATAGAACTGAAGTTCTTATGTTATGCTTAAACTACTTTAAATTTGTACTTATTTGATTTACATCATTAAAATTCTTGTGTAATAAAAATCATTGTTCTTTCTACTGCAACTTACAAGTTCTCACTTTGTTTTTCTCTAACAGATATAAGCTTACCAAAGTCAGCAACAATATGCTACACAGCTGCCTTGCTCAAAGCAAGAGCTGTCTCTGACAAGTAAGTGAGTGGTACTTGTGTGGTACTGAATGCCTGACCAGACTCAAGGGGATGAGTTGCCCTTGAGGCTTTCTCTGGAAGTTTCTCTTAGTCTATGACACCCTGCTTATGAGCATGCATTTTTCAAAATCTGCTGATCTTTTCTTTCACTACTAGAAGGAGGCAATTTATATCCCCAGGTATTGTAAGGGTATGTGGGTCCCTAAAAAGAGACTTATATGAAATTCCATACCTCTGAAGTGACTTTTTATTATTTACTATTATTTTTTGCCAGACTATAAATACCAAAAGGCCTACTTGGAACGTAACACAAAATGCTGTCCTTTTGCATATTCCTCTTCCTCCAGCAGTCCATGGCTGGGTAATGCCTTGTGGCAGTGCAGATGGTCAGGTCCCATTCTTTGCCTCATGAACTCCAGATTACTTCCCCACTTAGGGTCTGTTTGCTTTGTCCTATCTTGGTGGGATATTTGCCATTTTATTCAGGCAGGTGATTATGGCATATGGAGCTTTTATACTGATCCAAGGATGATGGGCAGGTGAAAGAGCACAGGTGGCCTAACTGCTTTTGAGTTCATAAACACTTCCTACACTTCCCCAGTATAATCCCTGCGTAGCATCGCAAAGCAGAGAACAGGAAAACAGCTAATGCTGTGTCAGACAGGTTTGCTGTTAAGTGTGTGTGCACTTTAAGACCGAAGTAATTTTCTTTCATTCTTTTTTATCCTGTAGATCGCCAGTACCTACTGCAACATCTTTTCTCCCTACACAGCGACTCCAGCTTGGGAGGGCAGGGCCAGGGTTGTCACAGCTTCCCCTGTGGTGTCTGCCTGCCAAGCACAGCTCTGGAGTTAGCCCTGGGTGTGAGGTGAGAAAGAGATTGCATGGTCTGGTTTTTTTCATTCCCTGGGGCAGGTGTCTTGCCCACAGTTTGGGCATGCACACCCCCTGCCAAATGGCCCAAGCAGGCTTGCCTGCTGCCAAAGCTGCTGTAACCACATCACAGCACTGATTGGGTGGGGAGCCTCCTTTGAAATTGCCCCCAGTTCTGTTTTTAACCAAGTGCGCTCTTCTGTAACCTAGTTTTCTCTTTTTCCTACACTGTCTGCCCTTGTAGTCCTCCCCTCTGCCCCTGCCTAGGAGGTACCTTGTAGAAAATTTAGATTAGCCATTTAGACAGAGACATGTCAGCTGAATTTAATTCCTGCCGCTATAGATGCAAGCACTCTTTCTGCTTCTGCTGGGGTTTTTGTTGGCCTCAGTCTAAGGGGTCACTCAGAGGTTTGTGTAGTGGAAGTTTGGAGAGCTCGTGCCATTGGCTCACTGGTTTTATGGGCCTTGATGTATAGATGCCTCTCTGGGTGGATGCCTGAGCAGTGGTCCCAACTGGATGGTGTGTGTCTTTCTGCTTTCCAGATTCTCTCCAGAGGCTGCATCTCGGCGGGGGCTGAGCACAGCAGAGATGAATGCAGTAGAGGCCATTCATAGAGCTGTGGAATTCAATCCTCATGTGCCAAAAGTGAGTATGTGAATTCCCCCAAGAAGATGGTTATGATAGCAGAGAAGCATTCACTGACCACAGTGATGCTTCCCCAGTATTCCCGGTTATAAAGTAGCGCATTGCAACCAACAAAGTTGGGACCCTGTACAGTTTATAAGCATGAAGCCTCCTCTTTAAGCAGAAGCTACCCCTGAGTGACCTTGGCGTTAGCATTTGAATTTCACATAATAAGGTAAATTGATAGACTTTGTCTAGGCAAGCCAGGTCAGGAAGTCTGAAATTGGCAAAAAGGGGAGATCCTGAGGGTTTGATGTGTTTGACAGGAGTTTCACACCAGTTATAGTCTTACATAAACCAACTATAGGAAATAAATCTTGTTGTCAATAAAACTCGTAAAAAAAAATACCAAGTATTGTGACATTCCATGTCTCTAGTCAGTACTGGCAAGAAAATAAGAGGGAAGGCTTCAAAGTATATAGCATTTTGAGTTGTGAGTGCCAATTTAATAGATACAGCAGGAAATATTTGTTTTAATTGTTAACAGCATAGCTTACCGATTTATAGGTAATCAGTATTTCTCATGTATTTTTTTTCCTGAGGGATTTTAAGGGAATAAAATCAGGTCAGAGGATATTTCTATAATCTTTTATTCAAGAGATAGATGTTTATGTAGGATTAAACTGTTTAAATACCTGCTCTGTGATAGTAGGTAGCTGAGGGTCAATTTCAGTCTCTTGATGTTAAGTGCATGGTAGCCTCTTAAGAAACTGTTCCTGCCAGGAGCTGAGTGTCTTCTAGCTACTCAGAAGGCAGAGATCAGGAGCTTCACAGTTCGAAGCCAGCCCAGGCAAATAGTTCGTGAGACACTATCTTGAAAAACCCATCACAAAAATAGGGCTGGTGGAGTTGCTCAAGGTGAAGGCCCTGAGTGCAAATGCCAGTACCACAAAAAAAAAAAGAGAAAGAAAGAAAGAAACTATTCCTTCCATTCACATTATATATTACAAGGGTCATCCTTAGCAGATGTCCCATGTTCCCGGTATCTCCAAAATCCTGGGGTCTCCATTATAGCTTTGTCTTCACCCTCACAGCTTATGCCTTACCCTCTCAGGAAATGCTTTTAAGGATCTGGGCCCTGCCACACATTGCCTGGCCTCCTGGTCTTCCTTTGAAATCAGGGTTGAAGCTTCCATGACCCCATACTCTTCCATTCTGCATACCTGCAAAACCAGCAGGGCAGAAGAAGCCAAGGTCTTCCTCTACCTCGAGTAGCAGTCACTTTGAACCACAGCTACAGCAGCCTCAGAACACCTGAATGACTGAACGTGGTGTAAAACTTACCTAGGTGTCCCTGTGCAGGCAGGGTTCTTCTCAAAGCAAAGTATTTCAACTAAGTTTAAACCTTAGTAGCCCTAAGCTTGGGATGGATAGGGTCTGGCTAATTCCCGAGATGCCCTCTTTCCTGTTGTCCTGATGCAAAGTACCTAGCTTCTTTCTAATGGTCCAGTTTTACTTTCCTTGAGCCCAACTTTATACATGGTTCTTCCCTAGGCAAACTGTAAGTTTCTCAGACCTTTTTGCTCTGCATTTTGCTTACAATTCTTACTGTAAACTTGACTAAAAGGAACTAGCAATAACTAGTAACTAGCCACAGCCTGGACACTGAGCTGCCTTAGTTGGATTTTTTTATGGACAGTACTGGGGTTTGAACCCAGGGCTTTCTGCTTACTAGGCAGGTACTCTACCACTTGTGCCTGATCACAAATCACCTTTAAATTTAGCCTCATATACAGTCAGGGGAATGGACAAAATGTAGACAGGTTCTTTGCTACAATGTAACATGAATGGCTCTAGTCTAATTCCCAGTTGAATCCTTATTTCCACCTGAAACCTCATGAGCAGAGTCTTTGCTGTCCACAGTTTTTATTGTCATTCTTGAATTTTGAATTTGTCCCAGAATTACCCATTACACTCTGCTTACAGTATTCTAGGATTTCTCTAGCCTGCTTCTAAAACCTTTTTCAAATTTATCCCACAAAGTAGTCAAAGGCTTCTGAAGCACATTACTAGGTAGTCACAGCAGTGACCCCTCTTCTCTGGTTCCAATTTTTTATATTACTGAGACTTTTCATCACTGTAACAAAATACTTAAGAAACAGCTTTAAGGGAAGAATTATTTATTTTGACTCATGATTTCAGTCCATTATGATGGAGAGAATGTGGCAGAGTAAAACAGCTCACATTTTGGCAGCCAGGAAGCAAAGAGAGAGAGAATGGGAGAGGGAGAGAATGTCTACACTGACTTTCTCCTTTTTCTTCTTTTATTCCATCTGTGCTCCCAGCCTTTGAGATAGTGCTGCCCACATTCTGGGTCTTCTCTTTAGTTTGTCTTCTCTGAAAATACCCTTACAGATACGCTCAAAGGTGTGCTTTACTAATCTCCTAGATGCTTCTCAGTTCAGTCAAGTTAATAACCTAGATTAATCAGCAAAGATAGGGTACTATGTACACTGATTCTCAACCACTTTGCTTCACTGGAGATTGTGCTGAGGGGAATCTTCTTCATTTCTTCACATTTACACAAGGTAAGGTCCCAGTAAGTCATGGTCTCATCTGTTTAGAATTAGCCATAAAATTCTGGTACACATGTACTATATGCAGGATGCTCTAAACATCTATTATACATGTTGCTGTTTGTTGAACTTCTTTCTAATATTGGAACAAACATTCTCATGCACACAAATTGGTGCCTTTGTAGGCAGAGAATAGCCTTAATTCTAATGAGATGAAGTAAAGTGTATAAACTCTTAGGCTAATGTTGTAAGAAGGGACCTTAAAAATCATGTAGGTCACCTTCCCATCCTAAGCTTGACTGTCTCTCCATAATGCAATTATTTTTATTATTGATCACTATACTAAATTACACGTACCCTCTCATTTTCTTCATAACAACACTGTGAGATATATACTGTTATTATTCATATTACACAGATGAAGGCACAAAAGATTTGTAGAAGTAATGTGCTCTGGGTCATGCAGCAAATATATGACACAGCATGAATGGCTTCTGGATTATCTGCTTTTATTTATTTATTTATTTATTTTTAAGGTTAAGGAATTTTCTTTATTTTTTACAAATTAAGACTATGTAGATATCATATATTTTTTTAATCAAAAACACCTTTGCTTCACAGTATGAGTTAGAGAATGCAGCCTGAGCTGAAAACCACGAACTAGAAAAGAAAGTGGAAATTACAGTGATACCTGTATTAAAAACCTGTTAGGCATTTTCTTTAAAAGTAGTTTTTTTTTATATATATCTTGTCATTCTTGGCACTGTTTCTAAAGAAAAACTCCTTTATCCCAAGCAAAAAAGCACAAAAGGTGGAGTTTGGCTTCAAGAGGTGAAACTCAGATTCAGGCCTAGCAGCTTTTAAATATCACCCTCCACTGTCTCTCAGATCAGGGGGACAGAGCCTAGGCTTAAACCCTTCAAATGAGGTTAGGCACATTGCATCCCAAGGCGTTCCATTCCTTCTTGATAATTCAGATTTCTTCAAGTTAATAATGTCATCATTTCTATGGCTTCTTTTCTCTATCATAGGAAGTTGTCAGTACCACACCACAGGTATTTTCAGCATCTATGTGCTGTTCTACCTAATTACAATCTATTCAGGTAGACAGAAATACCAAATATAATAGCCGAGAACTGCCTTCTATAAATTTCCAGCGTAGTTTCACTTGGTGTCTAATTAAGCACAAGTCTGCTGGTAATATTCTACCATCCAATGATAATCATTAGCTATTTCCCCAGTAGAGTGCAAGAACTCTGAGGAACTCTATTCACCTGCAAGGATGAGGAGTAAGGAATGTTGCTCCTTGCCACACCACAGGGCTGGGAAACAAATAAAAGCAAAAAGCCACAGGTCTCTATAGGGAGAAGAGCCTATTAATCAGGGAGTTAGATGATAAACTTGAAGAAGATTAGTAAGGAGAAAGAACGCACATAGACTTAGCATTACAAAAACTGCAGCTGTGCTCTCCACCTCCCATAGAAGAAGATAGCAACTCTTTGTAAGGGGTTCTTCAGGACCCCTCAAAATCTAACTCTACTTATTTTTCATTTTTCTCAGCATCTTCTAAACAGTCTTTTCATCATTCCAGAAACATCCTCCCCTCCTTCCCTCTTTGCTTCTTCAAAGGAAACCTACTCATTCTTTACCCCCTCACCCACACACTACCATTAAATTCACCACCAGGAGGCCTGTGCCTTCCTCATCAGAATTTATTTTTTCCCTCTCTGTGGTCTCTAGTTGGTTTAGTACTTGCTATTTACCTCTTTGGGGGGAATGTTTGTGGGTTTCATGATATTAATGCTACTGATTTTCAAGAACTGAGTACACAGTCCAAGTAAACAAAAAAACCTCTTCAGTTTTTTCCTGTTTAATGAGATTAAAATAGAAATACAATTACAGAAAAATTTTACTCATGTTATGCTGAACAAATGGAGAGCTACCCTCATCTCAGTTCTGTACCTTTATTTTTGTATTATACTTTATTGTATTTGGGTTTTTTTCCCCTTCAAATACAGTTCCTCACCCACCCTGCTCTTCCTTAGCATTTTTGAGATTTGCATTGGGGTACGAGTCTGAGTTAGCTAGTACTTCTGTCCTCTTAGCACTATGACTATACAGAAAGACGTTCCCTGAGAAGAGACACTGTTTTTGTTTTGGAGGATGTTATCTTGACTCCTTCAGGGTGGCAAAGATAAAACTTTCCATTTTCGGACCAGTTTCATAAAAAGGCTAAACTATTTGTTACAGGAAGCACTAGATATATTTTTACTATGTAGTGGCATTATAAAAATAAAATCTTTTTTTATATTAGGGAAAAGTATAAAGAAATAACCTTAGCTACTCTAATACTATTTCCTTCTAGCCTTTTTTCTATGCATTTTAAATACTTATATTTTCATATTTTACAAATTAGTATGGAGCTTACATTAATTACTTTTTTTG